TAGAATAGAATAGAATAGAATAGAATAGAATAGAATAGAATAGAATATTATTCATAGGCCAAGTGTGATTAGACACACAAGGAATTTGTCTCCAGTGCATAAGAAAAGTCTAGCACTAGCATAGAATTTAATATAACAACATTGTCTTGTTTTTTTCCTCTCTTCTCATTCTGCCCTAATTTGGCTTCATTTCACTAACAGGCATATGTTGCAGAGAACATACTGTCAATCCGCATTCAGATTGTACAATCCTATATTGTTTTTGGCTTTCATAGACATTTACATTCAATCTCATTGCAACATTTCTGAATGAATACACCTTGTGAGGTATAAAAATACTCCACCCATAGTATTTCTCAGTATGTTTCTTTGGAACAGTCTTTCTTCCCCACTTCCACTGAAATAATTAGAAATTACCTGTTCATTTTCCCCCTAAGCTCTAAAATCACAACAAACCTGAATATTGAATATGGTTAAGCAGGCTACCGAACATAGGGACTATGGAAAAGTGGGTATGAAACTCAAAAATGACTTTATCTAAAGCCCCTTTGAGTATTGTTTGGACATTGTTTTTAACAATGCAGATTTTTCAGATATTGAGTTGGTCTCCCAAGATGTTTCATTGTCTTCTCCACACATTGAAAATATTTTTAGCATATCTAACCTCTTGGAAATGCTCACCTACTTTTCATAAAGAGAAAAGGGGAAAAGATAGTTACTAATTCATAAGTTACTAGATGCTCCACAAAGGGCAAATAACCAAATCTGACAGGAAGTAGGGAGTGAAATAGTTCAAATCTTGCTTGGCTCTTTAGGGAATAAAACACAAAGCAACTTATTACTTGACATACTGAGAAACTCAACCAGGGATTTTAAAATTCTTTGTGAGTGTTCCTAAAAGACCATTTCTTAAAATAAAAATAAACAAACTTAATCAGAGAATGCAAAGCTCTTTTGCTAGCTACTCTTACTGAAGCGAGGAGGAGCATAGCTAGTATGACTCTTTGTCTCAAATTATACCTCAAAATCTTTGGCAACCTGTAAGGGGCTCACAAAATCAGTTTTACAGTATATGCTCCCAATATCAGAGGCCATGAAATACACAGGTCACTGCACTCTGGGCCAAATGCACTTTATGTATAACCTTTAAGGGCAACCCTATGAAAATGTAATGCAGTAATCTAGCCAAGGATGCAGATATGAATTATAATTGCCAGATTCTCTGGCACCAGTAAGGGTCAAAATTGGTGCACCTGTCACAGACAGGCAAAGGTCCCAGTAGCCATGTTCTCCATCTACTCTTTTAGAAGAACCTGTAGGTCAAGAAAAATCCCCCAAACACAAACCTGCACTTTTGCAGGTAGTGTCTGCCCATCCAGAGAACACCTTGGATCAACAGAGAATCTGATGTGATCCTCTTCTTTTCTGTCCTAAGCTGCAAGTCCCTCCTTGCCCAAGAGATATAATGATGACCAACCAAGACTCTATTTTGTTTCTGAGAAAATAGAAGTAGGAAGGTTTACTTATCAGCTCTCCATTTTTCCTCTTAGTCAATTCACATCTCTTTTGCTTTGCTTTATTTCAGACATACCCAAATACTTTTTTGGCTGGTTTGTCTCTCAAGCCTCAGCTTATTTTGAGTTTTCTCTTCCTGACACAATTCCTAAACTTTATGAAGCCAACCTTGATTTCTTTTTCTTTAGTTATAGGTTTCTCTTTTGTTTCCTCTAGATGTTCCTTTTCCTCTGCAGTATTTTAGAGAGCCCTGGCCTAAATTTCTCCCATTTTTCATTGTGATAAGAATATATTTAGGTTTTCAGTAGCTTATTTTGTGGGATTTTCCCTCCTTCCTTGACACTTCTCTGTCAAGATTTCAGGCTATTGGTTCTGACCTCTCTTCCCTTAGAGTAACCAATATCCACCTTTCTGAACTCAAGTATACTTATCTCTTCAGACCTTCTCTTTTGGACATCATGATGATGATTCAATTCTCTTCAAATAATCACCAATTTCATTCCTTCAGCCAATCCATCTCTGCTGATAAGGGTTCAATCTTGGATAGCAAACCCAAATTGTTCTTGTTCTTTCCTTCATTTTCTGAGAAATAAATCCAGCAAGAAAGAGTGGGGGACCTTATTTGGACTTCTAATCTTTGTAGATTTGCAGCAGATGCCAGGATAATTGAAATCTCCCAATATCACACTTGAATGTTTCTTTGAAGAACTGGTCATCTGAAGCAGAACACATATCATGCTAAAACACTTCATAATATGTTCTCTGTATTTCACAACAACCCAATGAAGTATGCCTCCTCAGTACTGCATCTCTATACAGTACATATTAAGCTAAGAAGTAGGAATCCTTTTTTATTTAATTAATGGATAAATGAATTAAAGCATGAATTGATAGACAAATAAGTGGAATTTAAAAACTCTGAGTCAAAGTTAATTTGTTGAGTACTGGCGCCAAGTAAAGCTCATCATCTTTTCCCACAAGAATCCAAGCAGGTTTCTTGCAAGCTTTCTTCATTTCAGCAATATAATTTAGGGCAAAAAGGAAGTCAGTTTCATATTGTTATCCTTCAGAATACAAGTTTCTCCCTATCTACCACTAAATTTAGATCTTCTCTCCAACTATGCATAACACTAAGTTTATCTTCTCTAGATAAATTGAAGTTCCCACTCATCTCCCACACTGCTTCCTTTCCTAGTTCTACCTTGACTATGTTCTATTCGTTCTCTCTTCACCTTATTCTGGATATCCCAAAGGTGTCTTTTTCCAAAATGCAATGGGACTTTCTCGGGTTTTTTTCTTTGAAAACCTTTCACTTCTCATCCAAGAAGATTCTTCAGAACTGAAGTCCAATTGCTTTTTAGAAAAAAGCACCTTTGGGACAACCATGACGTGGATGATTGTGAATTTCCATAGACATTTGCTCTGGATACTTTTGACTCGCTCACTTCCTCTATGCCTCATGCCTCTATGCCTGCATGCTTTGAAAAGAACGTTGTAAATAAGAAAAGCCAAGAATATTCATCTTAGTAATAAATAGTAGGAAGAGCAAGTTGAGGGTAAGTAGATGAATTAACTGACGTTTGGATGTTATTAATGAACCTTTTGATTCCATTTTGATATAAAACTAGAAATAAAGCTAACCTAAATTTCCTCATGTTTTCATTTTCTGATAGGTGTACACCGTCCTTCTCAAACATCAGATATTTCTGGTTTTTATTCCCTCCCTCCCAGTGGGGTTGGACAGATAACACCTTCTGTGGGATGGTAAGTATTTAAGGTCTTCAGCTGAATAACTTTTTTAAAAAAATATCACTGGACATGTATTAATACCCTTTATCTTTCACAGTGGTTGAATTTTAGCATGTTTCCTAGATTCTATGTTTATATCTCTGAATTCTTATCGAGTGAGATATTGGTTCTCTCTCTTGCTCTCCTACTTTTTTTGATCAAATATCGTTTCACAGAGAATTGGAATGCCTTCATTAATTGAGCCCTCTGCTGCCATTCGGAAATAAGGAAAATCAGGTTGTAGAATTTAGATTAACTAAAGGAGGGTACACAGCTTTTTCTGAGCAAGAGCTGCACATGGCTCCCGAATGTCCTGGCAGGAGCTGACATGCTCCAAAAAATAGTTAGTTGGAGCCAGGAAAAAAACATGAAGCAATTTCATTTTATTTCATTTGTATTTAAACCTAAATTCAAATAAAGTACCATGTTTCCCTTTTTATATTAAACTTTATAATCTAGTAATAACTTTTAGAATTCTTTGGAATACAAATATGACCCCATGATTTCTAGTTATACACCTCTACAATAAAAAAAAAATATGTGAAGACCTGTGTAGCTGTTCCATCATTCCTTTTGTAATTGGTTTTACAAGATAATAAAAAGATAGAAATGGTAAGAAACCCGAGAAGCTTTTGTTGTGATAACTAAAATTATTTGTTGATTGTAGAAAAAAAAAGCATTTTTTGCAAGCATTATTTGTAAGAATAATTCCGGATAGCTAGAAAATTCTGGGAAGGAAGGAAGGAAGGAAGGAAGGAAGGAAGGAAGGAAGGAAGGAAGGAAGGAAGGAAGGAAGGAAGGAAGAAAGATTCAGTCAATATATGCATTCATTTAATTTCTGATGGACTTTCCCCCACTCTGTTTAATCTGTAACATCTCCTTAGTTTCATGGATGTGGTGTGGCAGAAGTTTATTTGACTTGAATATTATGGGATTCCATCTCATGTTGATTCACTGCCATTTCTGACCTTGAAAACTGACGGAATGTATTTGATGTGGTGAAATAGCCTTATGAAATGTGGTCAAGAAAATGCTTGCTCTTTAGTTTTTCTGAAATGGTACAGTAGACTGTCATTCTGTTTTCTCAAGATTCATCAATATTGTTGGAAAAACAATACTTGGTTGTCACCATTACTCCTCACCACAACCACCCTGGATGAATCAGCTTTTAATGTTAAGATATTAATATTCTATAATGCAAACCCTTAATAATCTCCAGTTATGAAGATAAATACCCAAGTGTGGAAATTAGAGCTACCTTAAGAAGAATAAGTGGCAAGAAAAGTACACCACATTGGAGTCATTGATTGAAAGCCCATTGAAATTAGCAGTGTTCTAAACCAATGTGTTGACTGACTTGAGTTTTTAGGGGTATGTGTCAGTGCAAATCTTCAAAGGTTCTTAAACTACACAGTTTATGAGTCATCAAGTCAATCCACAGTTTACAAGCTATGTGTTGTTGTCTGCCAGGAATTTCAGAGCCCTGCTAGTTTTTCTAATCTGACAGAGGCAAAAATGCATGGTGTTTATGCAGCACATAATGTAAATGCTGTCATGTAGTATAATGTCGATTTATACATAGCGTTTGCAAGCTATACATTTTTCTAACTTAGCCTGAATCAAGCATAAGACCAGAAGTCAGTATTTTTTTTCCTGATTAACTGTTTGGAGCAATGCAAATTGGGATGGTACCCTGGCATTGAAAGGTTAAGTGTGATTTTTTTAAAGTGAAATGCAGTCATAAACTGCCCTGCAAGTTAAACAGTAAGATATTTCCTTACCAAAGAATGTAGTTATATTCACAAAAGAAGAAATGCTTAATGCTTCAACTTAAGTCAAGGTTGATTGTTTAGATTTCTCTCTTTTCCTTAAATACTGTGTTTGTCCTAAACTGGTTACATTGTGGGTGATGATTAACAACTCAGACAACAGGAGAGGAAGAACATTTTAGAGTGGATTTAGAGAAGTATTGCCAAGAAATATTGGCAAGGGGGCAAATACAAACATTTTTTAAATATGTTGAATGAATAAAGAAAAAAAAAATCCCAAACAACTTTCTCTCTAAGTAGCTTCGACTTCAGCTCCCGTTATCCCTGAATTTCATAGCTGATATATTTTTGGATAAAAAACATGATAATTGTGGCCCCGTCCATTTCAATCGATAGTCAGCAGAGAGAAATTCTCTATTTTTTTAATGTTGTGGATGAAAACCCCAAACAGTTGCATCTTTGGACACTTCCCCTGAGGAGCCTGAGCCCATTTGGGAACGGCTCCGGAGCTCTGTGTTCCCATGACATCAACAGTGCCTGAGAACTGTCCTGATTTATTTCTGGCTGAGTGCGGTGTAATTAAAATTGCTGCTGTTATTCCATTTTTGCTTTGTGAAGCAGTGGCTCCATTGCCCACTGGTGGAAGATATTACTCATTCTTGCTCCTGGCTCCTGAGCTTGAGCCTAGCTAGGCAATTCCCCCTCAGAAATCCACACAAAAGGAAGAAGAGTGGAATTGACAAAGCCTTTGTCAGTTTCTCTTCCCTCTTCCGTATCAAAGGAGTTAATATGAAAATGCCAGACAAGCTGCTTCTCCCCATCCTTTGTCTTTATATGGAGTAGGAGCGAAGGGATCTCTCTTGCTGCTGGACCAGGAGCAACGTGAGGCAGGGAAGGACAGCGCAGGAGTTACTCCATCTCCTCCTAAGCCTTTCAAGGGAAGAAAACAGGAATGGGTGGCCTTCTAAGCATTCGGGGAGAGGAACAGTGGAAGTGTTTGAAGAACCCATTTTGATTGCAGCAAAATTAAAATGAGAGTTCGTAGCATGCAGGTCTAAAATTGTCATTTCTGAGCTCGGCTATAAATCTGTGTGGGGAAAAGGACTAACAGTACAAATGGCATTAAGTATATTTCTCTTAAAATAATAGGTTAAGTTCTACATCATGGCACCTCATCGTGTAGTTTAATCTTTTGGTTATATCAGAGTCGATGCTCTCTTCTCCAAGTCTCATTTAAGCTCAAAGAGAAACTATTGGTTGTGTTTGGGCTTCTAGAGGAAGCCCAAATTGAGGAAGGCTAAACTGGACAAAAAAGGGTGTACACACAGACACACACAGACACATACAGGGACACCAACTTCAGCTGAAGTCTTTATCTTGACTGGATGCTTCTCTGATCATTTTTAATCTGCTTTTTTAAAAAACACAATTGTGTGATCTGGTTTTAAACTGACACCTTTGCCAGCACAAGAATTGTTTGCCTTTAATTGCAGCACATTGTAATACATGAGAGATTGTAACTAAAAATATCACAGGGATGTGCCTAATTTGTGGCAGGTTTCATCCAATGAACTGGACTGGAACCACTTGGGCAGCCTGCCAGGAAACCAAGAGTTTGGATAACCAAAGTTTCATTGAAGAAAGTTAAGAAGCCACAACTAAGGAACCATAGCAACAGTTGGGAATCAAGAACAAGTCCATATACTGAAAAGAGTGTTCGGACCTCTCGTGTTTCTTTCTTTCCTGCCTCATGCAATGGATTGCCTGGTGCTCTCTTTTGGGCAGGCTGGCTTGTTTCAATCTCTTCTTGGTCTTTGCAATGGTCAGATTTGCTATCCTATTGTTTCTCACTGATTGTGTGAGAATTAATTCTCCCCAGGGGTGGGATTCAAATTTTTTAACAACTGGTTCTGTGGGCGTATCTAAGTTGGTAGGCGTGGCTTGGTGGTCATGTTATTGGCTGGGTATGGCCAATTCAATATCACTCACATCGAGGCACGCATCTCCTCGCCTGGCCACTCATGACTGTGGGGATGCTGCAACAATTGTAAGTGTGAAAAATGATCATAAGTCACTTTTTTCAGTGCCACTGTAACTTTGAATGGTCACTCCACACAAGCAAAGTACCAGCAAAGGAGGGGGGGAAAACTCCAGAAAAGTTCCTGAGACAGGAAGTCTAGTCCTGTCAAGAATGTAATAAGGGTTAACGGAGAGGCAGTTTCTGTAAGCAACACCAGAATGTTTCCTTCCTGCCTTCCTTACAGGATTAGGTCAGTAATTTCTTCTAACAATTGGTTCTCCAAACTGCTTAGAATGTAAACAACCAGTTCTAGTGAATAGGTGCAAACTGGCAGAATCCCACCCCTGATTCTCCCAATTTGACCACTCTTCAGAAATAATTCTATGGAGTGTTCTACTTGCACTACATGCAGGCTCAAAGTCATATTAAACAATAACTGTGCTGGCTGCCCATACACCATCAGCCTTCACGATTTTTTCCACTCCCAACCAGAAAAGTACACATTAAGGAGAGGGGGACCAATTTTATTTGGCTGTTATTTCATTGGGATGGTTTTATTTATGCCCAATTTCATTTTTTCATGAACCCATATATAGATTGTGGTGTATGACAATTGGCACCCACAGGCTACAATCCGTCTTAACCTTCTTGGTGCACCTATATGCCTCAAAAATCCCACAGACATCATAATTGCACAATGCTATTTACATGTGAGTTACCTTCCATGTATTTCTTAATCTTGCCCCTGTAAAAGTGGCTCATGTGCATCCATCAGTTTGCTGATCAAGCCTTTTATCCCACAGAACTTCACACAGTTGCTTGTATGGACAAACATGACCAATGTTCTTAGACCCTTTTATAAAAAAGGGGGAGGGGGGCTTTCACCCAAGCAAAAACCCTAGTCTCCTTCCTTGATATATCATCCTTTGCAGAGCTTGGCAGTGTTCATTACATTCAAATCAATTTGGGAAGAAGAAATGGAGAAAGAGGGAGACTCCAGAATCTCTTTTTGCCAATAAGGACTGGTATGATAGGCAATGGCTCTGAGGAGAACAGGTTCACTGTTCTAGAAGAAAGCTGACTTCAAACACAATGGTTGTAATATAGCAAGAGCTTTTCCTGAGAAGGAAAAGGTTCAGCAGGAATGTCTATGGAGATTCTCCATCATTCAGGTCATAGTTGCCTCA